CTCAGCAACAGCCCATTCATAGATCCCCTTCAGCTCGTGTAAAAGACTAGTGGTTCTCCCCTGTTATGTGCCGACGAGGTCTGCTGAGACTTATGGTTCCTCCCTGTTATGTGCTCATAAGGAATGCTGAGACTTGCGTTTCCCCTTTTGTTTGCTCATAAAGTCTGCTGAGACTTGTGGTTTCTTCCTGTCACGTATTGACCCCTGGAGCAACCGCACAGATAATATATCAGGGGGAGGCAACCTCCTGTGGAACTACAAGCCCCATGATGCATTGCAAGACACAGACAGCCCCAGACATGACCCCCCAGAGACAGAGGCACGCTGGGATTTGTAGTGTGTCCTGTGGTCACCTCCTCCGTGGTGTAAAAATAAAGACAAGACGGATCTGAGAGACATTTGTGTCCAGAATCAGGAAGAGAAAATAAAGGTGATTTCCAGAGGTGATTGGAATGAAGAGTGTGAGCGGAGCTCAGGATGGGGTCAGGTCTAGATGTGTCAGAAATGGGTCAGTGTGGTGTCAGTGGTGACAAGCTGAAGAATGGGGATTACCTCCATAGGATGTGATGGAAGGATCTCCTCTAGTGCTGGAATCGGCCGCTCGGGGAGAGAGAGGAAGTCACCTCAGAGATGTGGGAGGAGTTTGAGTGGAGGTCATGTCATGATTGGCCGGAAGGTAAACACAGAACCGGACGTGACGTCATAACAACATCACAGAGAGGAGGAAAGAGGATAGAGAGGTGCAAAGAGGGGAGGGGGAGGAGCTGAGTGTGAGAACGGAGCACACGGAGGACTGATGATAAGAAGTGGAGGATCTGGTGGAATGGAGCACACGGGGGAGGGGAGAATACTGTGACAGAGAAGAGTTCTCTATATGTACAGTGCGGGGAGCAGAGGAAGAGCCATGGAGGAGGAAAACTATTCCGGGGGACAAAGTGATCAGGAAACTGCTGACATCACATAGATGATGAACCGCTGGGGCAGAGAGCTTGAGAGGACCGCAATGACAGCAACATGTCTGTGTCTGATGAGAGGAGGCAAGCTCAGCACTGGAGCTGTCATCAGACTACAAGTCCCATCATGCATCTGTCTATGGGAGTCGTGGCTGTCAGAGTCTTGCAATGCCTCATGGGGCTTGTAGTTCTACAACAGCTGGAGTGCTGGGCTGTGCTCCTCCACAGGTGTTTGGATATGCACTACAAGTCCCAGCATGCATCTGTCTCTGGGAGTCATGTCTGATGAGAGGAGACAATTATCTGGAAGTATATAAACATGTATGTGTATGGTGGTGTAGAAGGTGCTGTGAGGTGCCACATCCCTACAATTCCGATCAAGTCACACATATAAGAAACTGGCTTTTTAGGTGCCAACTCTGCAGCATATTGAGGGCAATGTATCAAAACCGAAGCTGACTGATTCTGGAGCAGTTGTCCGTGGCAACCAATCAGCTTCTCTCTTCAGTTTGCTCAATTAAACTTTGAAAATGAAAGAGAGAAGCTGATTGGTTGCCACAGAACCTGCTCCAGAATCAGTCAGCTTCGGTTTTGATAAATTCCCCCATTGCTTTTATAAATTGTAAAAACTTGTGTACAGACAAATAAAGAGTTGTTTTTACAAACAAATCATAATGTGGGAATTGATCAAAACTGGAGCTGACAAAATCTGGAGTAGTTGTTTATGGCAACCAATCAGCTTCATTCTTGTGTTTTCAAAGCTTAACTGAAAAGAGAAGCTGATTGGTTGCCATAAACAACTACTCCAGATTTTGTCAGCTCCAGTTTTGATCAATTCCCACATTATGATTTGTTTGTAAAAACAACTCTTTATTTCTCTGTACAGTTATTACAATTTATAAAAGCAATGAGGGGGAAATTTATCAAAACTGAAGCTGACACAATCTGGAGCAGTTGTCCGCGGCAACCAATCAGCTTCTCTCTTTCATTTTCAAAGCTTAACTCAACAAGCTGAAGAGAGAAGCTGATTGGTTGCCGGGGGCAACTGCTCCAGATTGTGTCTGCTCCAGGTTTGATAGATTCCTCGCTACAAACAATGATGAATGCGGCTTGTATGTACATATACACCCAGGGCCGTACCTATAATGAGGCACCCTAAGGTGGTTGCCTTGGGGATGGATGGGTGGCGGTGGGGTGACCGAGGGGGGTCAGCCACAGCATCCCAGGTTACTAACAGCTTTTAGCAACCTGTGACGCTCTGTCTGGTGGCGTTCCGCACAGCTCACCGACCTCACCGGTTGCCAGTAGCTGAGCAGGACTCTCTAACTTTAGCTTGCTGAGCTCCTGGCAACCAGTGACATTAATGAGCTCGGTAGGACGCCGCCAGACACTTACAGCGCAGTCCAGCGTCCGCCGCAGCCCAATCTATTTAACCTCCCCCCAGACGGCAAGAGAACCAGACCAGTGAGTGGAGATTTCCTCTCAGAACCCGGCATGATCGTTGGTGGTACAGCGGTTCTGTCTGGTGAGGGAGAGCCCATTCGTGGTGACAATAAGCAATGGTGGCAAACACCCTCATAGGGCCCCGAGCGGGAGCACCGCACCCCACTGATGACATTGGAACGTGACATCGCTGTGACCCGAGTATATTACTACTGGACATGTGCAGGACCTAAAACCTACACACACCTAGGGGCATGCCCCCTCCCTCCAAGGGACGATAATGGTGCATTCTTCCCAACATCCAATCACTATCCAAATCCTGCCGCCTTCACCTTCGTAACATCTCCAAAATACGCCCCTTCCTCACCTATGGAACCGCAAAACTACTCATACACTCACTTGTTATCTCTCGTCTGGACTATTGCAACTCCCTCCTCATTGGCTGACCTCTACACAGGCTCCTCCCCCTTCAGTCTATTATGAATGCAGCTGCCAGACTCATCCACCTAACCAACTCCTTATAAGTGATTTGGGCGAAATCGCCGAGATCACTTGTATAAAACAGGTGTAATCACATATGCTGCAATTAGCTGCGAATAATCACAACCAGATGTAGCTGATCGCATAAGTCTCGGGGAGGAGTTAATGAGAATCATGTGATCGGCCCCATTCCCATGTCTTAATGGGGGTCTAACTGATACAAGCCGATATTTCTATAATGTGAAATGTATAACTTTCAGAATATGGATAGGACTTCTCTCCTAGGGGATTCCTTCAGTGTCCAATGAAATTAATCTTTTGAACGAAGAGCTTTCCCAGTGTGGATCTTCTGGTGTTTATTAAGATTTGACTTTTGAGCGAAGCTCTTGTCACAGTGTAAGCATGTAAATAGTTTCTCTCCAGTGTGTATCTTCTGGTGAATAGTAAGCTGTGACTTCGAGGTGAAACATTTGCCACATTCTGAGCATCTATATGGTTTCTCTCCTGTGTGGATGTTCTGATGTTCCAGAAGGTTCGACTTTTGTGAGAAGCACTTGTCACATTCTGAACATCTGTATGGTTTCTCTCCTGTGTGGATCTTCTGATGTTTAATAAGATCTATCTTTTGTATGAAGCTCTTGTCACATTCTGAGCATGCAAATGGTTTCTCACCAGTGTGAGTCCTCTGGTGAACTGTAAGGTGTGACTTCAAGCTGAAACATCTCTCACATTCTGAACACCAATATGGTTTCTCACCTGTGTGGATCCTCTGATGTTCAACAAGATTTCTCTTTCGTATGAAGGACTTGTCACATTCTGAGCATTTAAATGGCCTCTCTCCTGTGTGAGTCCTCTTGTGTTCAGTAAGAGCTCTCTTTTCTATGAAGTCCTTGTTACATTCTGAGCATTTAAATGGCTCCTCTCCAGTGTGAATCCTCTGGTGTTGAGTAAGATGATGCTTAAATGAGAAGCACTTGTCACATTGTGAACATCTAAATGGTTTCTCTCCTGTGTGAATCTTCTGGTGTCTGATAAGATTTTGCTTGTTTGAAAAGCACTTTTTACATTCAGAGCACTCAAATGTCTTATCTCCTGTGTGGTTCCCCTGGTGTTGGGTAAGACGTGTCTCATGTTTTAAGCCCTTGGCAAATGGTTTCTCTTCATTATGAATCTTCTGGTGAACTATCAGAAGTGACTTTGAGATGAAGCTTCTCTCACACTCCGAGCATTCATATAGCTTGTCTCCTCTGGGATTCATCATGTGAGCAGTAGTATGTTTTCAGAATGCTTAAATAAAGAAATGTAGGAATTTTGGTGTATACCTGAAAAAAAAAACAAGAAATACATTATTATTATAGATTGACAACAGATAAGGACCAACCTCAACATTTCAGACTTTTACACCCAAATTGTGTGTCTTCAGACAGTTTGCAGTTCAGTTGAATAGTTCTTATCAATGTATTTCTAAATTCACACCATGCAGGAAATATAAACATTAATAACTGAATACAGGTTTGTCTTTTCTGAGTGGAGAATGTGTTATCTCAACTCAATTATCTTTACTCCAAGTCCCCAAACAGGAATGGTGGCATAATACAACCATTTCCTGTTAGGAGTCCAGCGGCAATAGTAAAAAAAAACTCAGGGTGGTTGGGGCTGTAACTGGTCACATGACTTCACTCCATGGAAGCCTAAATTACAGAGAGAAGTTACATAAAAGGTAATAATAGGTACATCCATGGGATAGGATTTACAAAGCATTAGGGGTTTTCTAAAGATAGTTTAGAGTAAAATATTTTCCATTTACAACACACTGTCTCTGATTGAACAGACAGATTGAGCCATGGGAAGAGAAGGGGAGGATTCACTGTTCTGGTTCCCTTGTGGTGTGTGTCTATGTAAGCTTGTGTTGTTGAACTCTAAACAACAGCCTTTTTTTTCAGCAAAGGAGCCAAGTTAAACCTTGGAAACCCATAAAGAGCACAGAGTTTCAAGTGTTGGCTGTATATGACAAATGTTTCTATTTCATGCTTCCTACCATCAATCGCTTCATTGCTCCCATTTCATGCAGTGATATAATGGTCCCCTGGAGGCACTATGTTACCCAGAGAGGTACGCGCTATCTGGCATACGCCAAATTTTAAGACAACAGTGGTGCTCCTAACTGCATGAGGGTGAAGATTTCACATGCTGCCTGCCATAGAGGTTAGTATTCAGCTTCTTATTTTACATGGTCTTCTCTTTACAACAGGAGTTTTAGTCCTTGCCCACTCTATCCAAACAAAACAAAAAGCTAAGCTACAGGTACACTTTTATTTTATTCATGAAAACCTTTTTCTATGAACCTCAGAATCATGTGACAAAAAGCTACAATCCCTTTCAGAAGTACAATAAGAAACTTTCTGAGTATTCATGGACTGACATTCGATTAATATCAACCTGATTAAACATTCTGAGACAGCCAATGTTTCCAAGTTATTGATCTCTAACAGCATTATCTGTTGCCTGGATTTTATTTGAATACCCAAGATATACTCTGCCTGCAGCCAACATATCTCTCAGTGTAATGTTCAAAGCACAAAACATCTACATTGTAAAATCCACAATCACACAGAGTGCACCTACCTGGTATAATATAGAATTGGGCCCTGTAGAAGCTTCTTATTCTCTTGACCAGCAGTTCTTGTAACTGACTGAGCCCAGCCTCACCTTATATTCATTTCACCACCATTCATTTACATGTGCTGGATCTCCATTGGCTGAAAAGGTGATATCTACTTCACAAAAGGTTTAATTTACATTGTAATGAGGCAGTTTCAGCTTCTCTTTGTTTCCACTCTCTATCCCAATCACAGCCAGGACACGTTCATTAACATTAGAATACATGGAGGGAGGGATGACAATATAGGAAGGAACCTTCATTGAAAATGAATGGCAGTTGTCTCTGATCATTATCATAAACAGGTGACACTATCATTGTATCATCAATTGAAAAAGGGAACAGGGGAGTCTTTGTTAAAAAGAATCTATAATTGTTTTTTTAAATTTAATTTAGAAAGAGTTATAACCCCTTTAAATATTATTTTGTTCTGTATTGTCCAGATTTCCCAGAATTTCCTGTCATGTGAACACAACAAAGGAGGGGAGGAACTCTCTCCAAAGTGAGGGAATTCTCCTCTTTACCAGCATGGCAAAATTATTCACAGCTTTTTCACTTTTTATGTTCTGTGTAGCATTCCAGTTTGTCTTAAATGCAAAAAAGTTCATACGAGAGCAACTGTGTGCACAAGTGAAACTATCATATTATAATGAGCATTTATAAGGCTTGAAATGTTTGTGGATTTAAGAGCAATATGAATGTAAATATATTGGTGCTTTATTTGGAGATACAGTATGGTGTCATAATTGTCTAAATAGTTATATATTCAATGTTGTGGTGTATTTTTCGGTGTATATGTTTAATATAAGAAGCTGAGGACTATTCAGAGAGCAATAAAATATGATATATTGATCAATTAGATCCCTTTTCTTCTTTAAGTGTTGTACAGGCATATACTTAATTTAACTAAGTTAAAAAAATATGATGCTGTAACAGCTTAAAAAGCATTAGTTACAGTTCATATATAAATTGTTAGTTATGTCCATCTAAATCTGCGAGTGCATCTAACGCTTCCATGTCTACTGGGTGAGAATGCTGCTGTCCAAAAGTGGCTCTAATGCTCCTCCATGGAGTGAAGCCACCTTAAAACGGGATATGTTGCTGGACAGATCACGATGTAAAAATAAAGGGATTTAATGTCATCCAGACCCCTGGTGAGACCCCGCACAGCCCACCTGAGACTCTACATAGCCCACCTGAGACCCTCTACAGCCCCCCAAGACTGCACGCAGCCCTCCGGAGACCCTGCACAGCTCACCTGAGACCCGGTACAGACCTACTATGACCCTAGAGACATCTTACTGCCAACTTAGAGCAAAATAGAGTATGCATCTTCATATTATTCTTCATTGTTGTATAATAAATAGCTGGGATTTGTAGTCCTCTATAGCTAGTAGTATTCTGCATTCCTGTATAATGTATTGCTGGGATTTGTAATCCTCTCTAGCTGGTGGTATTCTGTGTTGCAATATAATGTATTTCTGGGATTTGTAGTCCTGCATAGCTGGTGGTATTCTGCATTCCTGTATAATGTATTGCTGAGATTTGTACTTCTTTGTAGCTGATGGTATTCTGCTTTGCTGTACAATATATTCTGAGATTTGTAGTACCGCTACAAGCTTGGAGTCAGTGGTAGAACTACCAGGGTCACAGTGGTTGCAGCTGCAACCGGGCCCTGGTGCTCCCATGACACAAAAAAAAAATCAGTAATTTGGTATTGGCGAGCACTTGAGGAAGAGTATCAGTTCTCATCCTCGGTCCTGAAAAAATGGTATCGGTACATCCTTACTAGAGACACAAGCAGATCTTGTAAACAAAGGAAATGTAAATTTGAAATGCCAAAAGGATGCAATTTGTATTTGGGCGTTTGTAATATGCGCGTTTTACCGTGATTTGCGGTCAACAAATAGCGCGTTTACGAAATCTATCAGACTGTATCCTAATGGATACGCGTGGAAAAATGCCCCAAAAGAAGCTCCTGGACTAGTTCGGGTGTTGGGCATATTTTAGCGCGTTGTTAAGCGCTGAAATACGCCTAGGTGGGAACCATGCCCATTGGAATTAATTGGATTTTACTGCTTGAACGTTTTACAGCGCTTCGATCAGCGCTGTAAAACGCCCAGGTGTGAACAAGCAGTAAACTCAATATGTAATGCTATGTTCCCTTGTTTTATTTTATAATCTGCCATAATTTACACAGGATTTCTGGATAAAGGGAAACTACATCATCGTCGTAAGTATTAAAAAACGTTGAGCTAGCAGAACACGGGAAGGTGAGGTAACATTCTTGCTTGCAGGTAATAAAGTTTATATCTCCACGGATTATGTATTTTTTTTCCCATTATTGGCTTTTAGGAAAAATAAAGTGATCGCGACTTTCTATACAGCAAATGAGTCATTAACTGTTACAGCAACACACAGTATACACAATTTTTTTTACATTTAGAATTCCAACATAAAGACAATCTCTAAATTAATGGATCTGTAGTAAAACCAAATCACTACATTCCTTTTGTTTATGTGAGACGAGCCATTCTTCCATTAGGCATCTCATCTAATCAATTGATCAAACTTACATTTTTTTACTCACAGAGATCTTTGAGTTTTGGAGGACTGGTCCCCTTCCTCATGACAAAAGTAAGTGTTGTCTTTACATTACAGGTGTAACATGTTCAGACAAGCCAGGAGTCACTGCTCTGTTTCACGTTTGTGTGTAGATCTTTGTTTGAGCATCTGAGCTCTGTAAACAATAAGGCATCACGCATGAAAAGGAACCAAGAACCTGCTGCATGCATATACAATTAAAAAAATATTCAAAGTATATGTCTAAATTCCTCTAAAAAAAAATGAAAAAAATACATCTTAGTCCTGATCATAATAAGGAACTACAGATTATACAGTCCTTGTAAAAGCTTGAAGCAAATATATATTGTTTTTAGCATATTATTGTTTTCCTTTGTAATGGTCAGGACAATTTCTAGATAAATTGAGATAATTGAATAGGGATATTACAAACTTTACAATATACAGTATACAGTAGCAAGCAAGATTGTCATTTGGCTCCCTCTCTTCTCATTTCCTGTTTAGTACAGAGCTCTATAGCTGAAGCTAAATAACTTTAAAACACACAAAGAATTTACTAAGCATATACTGTGTGTGTGTATATGTGTATATATATATATATATCTCTCTCATTTTTAAAAATAAAATAGCTGCAATTTACCCGAGAAACCCTTACGGTTTACCAAAAGATAGATGCAAATTACATTAATACTGTGTGTAGGGATAACTAGCATTCAGACGTCTGTAGAGACGCCCGATCGCTTGTAATATGCGTGCGTTTGTGTGCCCCCCCCCTCCGTTGCCGCCGCTGCTGGCAATCCCGAGCTCTGCTGTGCCCAGACAAACTACAATGTAGACAAGCTGCGGTGCGGTGCGAAGTGGAAGGTTGCGATTTTTTCGCTTCGCCTGCAGTGTGTCACAGCCTTGAGAGGGAAAAGGAGGGAAGTCTGTCTTAATGCCACTCTTCCCTCATGAGAGTGACAGTTTCAAGTCCCCCTCACTGTATCTGTGCAGTGCGAGGTAAAGTTCAGTAAGGTCATGTGACCTTAGGGCTTGTTGTCGAAGGCTCAGTCTCCCTCAGAAACAGGCCCACCAAATTAAGCTTGAAGGATGTCTGAGGAGCATGTTTTACAGGCAGATGCAGTGAACATTGCACTCCACACATAACAGTCTGCAAAGACCATTTCGCCACCATGGTCCGCCGTTTATTTCACGAAGGGGTTAATACCTGCTGCTAGTGTGTTTGCACACACACAGTGCTGATGGCACCTATCTCGGGACAGGAGGCTTTTTTCAGTGACGCCAAACATTCTAATTTCCAGCATGTGTCAGAGTGCCCACTTACATTGCTTGGCTCCATCAGAGTGCCCCTTTAGAATGTTTAACCCCATCACTGCCTCGCATTGTGGCCGCCTCTGGTAGTTTGATTCATGCTTTTGTACTGGTTCATGCTGAACAAGTCGGAACATGTAAATCCTGCTTTTTAGCAATTTTCATCATTTTAACAGAGAAATAACTGTTGCACTTTGCTATAGAGGTGCTTTTGTAATATTGTTATTGGGTGGTTTGGCAGAGTAAACTATGATCCTGTCAGGAGGATTGTAGATTATCACAAAGGATGTCATTGTGCAGCTCATACATTCCCCGCATTTCTTTCTCTACTGATCACCGTGACGACTTATCTCAGCCTTTCACAGCTGTTTCGTGTGATAAGTTTTCTTTTCGCAGGTTATTAAACAGCCTCTGTGCAGCCGAGTAAAACAAAGTGATCTGCTGAGTAAAGTTAACTTGTGATAAAGCTAGTTTTATCACGGTTTATTAAACGTACACCTCTGAGTGTGAAAGTGAAATCTAACAGGGTAATTCACAAGAGGGTGAAGAGTTTGGAGAAGGTAGGAGAAGGGAACAATCTAGGTCAACATAGCTGAACTGGAAAAATTCTCCAATTCAGCTCACTTTCCAGTTCAGCTATGTTGTCCTAGATTGTTCCCTTCTCTGGCCTTCTCCAAACTCTTCACCCTGTTGTGAATAACCCTGTAAGTAAACAGAGTTTCATCCCACAAAATAAGCTAAGTGAAGATACAGATTGTTAAGTCAACAGTCTCTACTCATTTAGTAAATCAACCTCAATGTGTCTCTGACTGCAACTTGTGTTTACGTCATCAGAACAACCTTGGGAATGGGCCGATTGCAAAAATATCACAAATGCCCCGCTGAGACCCCTGCAATAAGCTGCTGTCTGTGGAATTTCACATGTAATCATACATGCTGTAGTTAGCTTTTGATAATAGCAACTGGATGCAGCTGGTCGCATAAGCCTCAATTAATAAGAAAATTAATAAGACTTATGTTGTCTTCTCACATTCAGAGCATCAAAGCAGATTTTTCTCCATGGTGATTCTTCTGGTGGCTGATAAGATTTGCCCTTTTTGTGAAGCTCTTGTCACATTCTGAGCACCTATATGGTTTCACTCCAGTGTGAGTCCTCTGGTGAACTGAAAGCTTTGACTTCGAGATGAAACATTTGTCACATTCTGAACACCCATATGGTTTCACTCCTTTGTGGATCCTCTGATGTAAAGTAAGAGTAACCCTCTGTGAAAAGCTCTTGTCACATTCTGAGCATTTATATGGTCTCTCTCCAGTGTGAATCCTCTGGTGCCTGATAAGAATTTCCTTTTCTGAGAAGCTTTTGTCACATTCTAAGCACTTATATGGTTTCTCTCCTGTGTGGACTCTCCGATGTGCAATAAGATTTGGCTCTCGTGAGAAGCACTTGTCACATTCTGAACATCTATATGGTTTCTCTCCGGTGTGAGTCCTCTGGTGTTGAATAAGATGTGTCTTGTTTGTGCAGCACTTGCCACATTCAGAACATTCAAATGTCCTCTCTCCAGTGTGAATCCTCTGGTGTTCAGAAAGAATTCTCTTTCGTGTGAAGCTTTTGTCACATTCTGAGCATTTAAAAGGTTTCTCTCCGGTATGAGTCCTCTGGTGAGTAGTAAAATTTGACTTTTGTTTGAAGCACTTCCCACATTCTAAACATCCAAATGGCTTCTCTTCAGTGTGATATTTTTGGTGTTCGATTAGAGTAGTCTTCTGCGAGTAGCTCTTGTAACATTCTGAGCATTTAAATGGCTTCTCTCCAGTGTGTAGCCTGTGGTGTTGAGTAAGATGATGCTTATGCAAGAAGCACTTGTCACATTCTGAGCATCTAAATGGTTTCTCTCCAGTGTGAATCTTCTGGTGTCTGATCAGAATTCCTTTTTTTGTGAAACACTTGTCACATTCAGAGCACTCAAATATCTTCTCTCCAGTGTGACTCCTCTGGTGTTGAGTGAGACGTGTCTCATGTTTGATGCCCTTGTTAAATGGTTTCTCTTCATTATGAATCTTCTGGTGAACTGTTAGAAGTGGCTTTGAAATGAAACTTTTCTCACACTCCAAGCACTCGTATAGCTTGTCTCCTCTGGGATTCATTATGTGCTAAAGAATGCCAAGTTAGCAGTGGAATATTTTTAGACTGCTTAAATAAAGGAATTTAGGAATTTCAGTGAGTCCCTGAAAAAAAAAGGAAAAATAAAAATAAATTATTATAGCAACAGATGCAACCCATCTCTGCTATAGAGAAGTCAGCCCAGTTCTCCGTGAACCCAAAGCCCTCTTTCCAACACCAGCTCCGAGACCACTAGTTCAGTTCCCTCAATTCTCGCTGTCTCTCTGGATTGGCTCGTGGCACCGGCAGTATCTCAGAGAATACTACCGTGGAGGTCCTTTTCTTCAACCTAGCACTTAAGTCTCTGAAATCGCTTTTTAGGACACTCCATTTGCCTCCTTTTTTGTCATTGGTGCCGAATTGCTCTATGACAGTCAACTCACACTGTGCGCAACAGTACTCGCCCTCCAACGCATGTTCAAGAAATGCATACATTGAGCAAGATGTGCACCAGGTTGCATTTCCACTCATGGAAGACATTTTATTGATTTATTTTTATATATATTTTTTAATTTAATTCAGGCCTAGATATTACTCAAAATAACCTCAGTAAATCCCCAGCAAATTAATACTACCAATTATTAGTAACACAGTTATTACCACAGTAATTCCCCAGCAGATTAATACCCCCGGTGCAGAGCAGTTATCACCACAGTACTTCCTCACAACATTAATACCCCCAATGCGCAGCAGTTATTGCCACGGTAATTCCTCACATGATTAATACCCCCAATGTGCAGCAGTTATTACCACAGTGATTCCCCTACAGATTATTGCCCCAAATGCACAGCAGTTATTACCACATTAATTCCTCACAAAATTAATACCACCAATGCACAGCAGTTATTACCACAGTAATTCCCCACAAAAATTAATACTAGAGCTGCAGCTAACGATTATTTTCAAAATCGATTAGTTAGCCGATTATTAAGTTCGATTAATCGGTTAATCGGATAAACAATAAAATAAATGTTAAAAAATGGCTCCAGTGATGGACTACTAGTTTGTATTGAGATTGCACTCCATCACAGGAGTAAGCTTGGAGCGGTGGAAGTAAAAAAGAAAAGAAAAAAGTGTGGTGTGCAATATAGTGAAATGGAAAGTGTAAAATTATACAGCAATCAATGCAGAATGGCACCGGCTATAGAGGACTACAAAACCCAGCAATAGTACATTATACAGCACAATGCAGAATACCACCAGCTATAGAGGAGCACAATAAATCCCAGCAATAGTACATTATAGCTGGTGGTATTCTGCATTGCGCTGTATAATGTACTGTTGCTGGGTTTTGTAGTCCTCTATAGCCAGTGGTATTCGGCAGTGCACCACTGTATAATGTATTATTACTGGGATTTGTAGTCCTCTATACAGCGCAGTGCAGAATATCACCAACTATAAAGGAGTACAACAAATCCCAGCAATAGTACATTATACATACAGTGTATAATGTATTGCTGGGATTTGTATTCCTCTATAGCTGATGGAACATATACAGCACAACGTACCATCAGCTATAGAGGAATACAAATCCCAGCAATACATTATAGAGCACCATGTGTGGGAGTGTGCAGGCTTACCTGAGCAGTCTTCCAGCAACTTGCTTCTGAGATTGGGCCTGTCTATCGGCGGCTGTCATCACCCCACACCTGCTCCTCCTTACTACATCTCCCCGCGTCCCTGTGCCGATCGTGGAGTGTGAGGCGGGAAGGAGGTGCGGCGTGTAGAACGTGGATGCGGGCGGGTCTGGCAGCGGTGAGCGTGAGTTGGGGAGGAGGTGCGGCGCGCAGCGTGTGTGGAGCCGTGAACAGGGCCAACTGATCAGAAGCCGATTAATCGATTATTGAAATAGTTGACAACTTTTTCAATAATCGATTATAACCGATTATGTCGATTAGTTGTTGCAGCCCTAATTAATACCCCCAATGCAGAGCAGTTATTACCACAGTAATCCCTCACATGATTAATACCCCCAATGCACAGCAGTTATTACCACGGTAATCCCTCACATGATTAACCTCCCTGGTGGTATGATTATTCAGGATTTTGTAGGCCTGTAATTCTTAGTAAATCTTAGGAATAACTCACCTAAATCTGTCCAAACAAGAGTCCAGTAGACATCCCGGGTATGATAAAGTTTGAAATACAAAATAAAACAATTATAATAATATAATAATAAAAAAAATGGTCCAGTAAATGGGAATTCTGGGGGCGCTGCCTGATCCGTACCACAGTCAATAAAGTACCAAGTTCACACATCACTGAGCTAGGTCGCAGAATTGTCGCTGTTACATAGTTACATAGTTACATAGTATTTGAGGTTGAATAAAGACATTAGTCCATCAAGTCCAACCTGTTGTAGGTCAAAAGCAGTTTTAGACCAGGTAGAAAACACCGATAGTAAATTAGAATCACTTGCAGAATTGAGTGATAGCGATTCGTTGGGAAATTCGTCATCAGACACTGAAAGTCACTTGTGTCTTTTTCGTGTCTGATGACGAATTTGCCAGCTAATCGCTATCGCTCAATTCTGCAAGTGATTCTAATTTACTATCGCTGTTCTCTACCTGGTCTAAAACCGCTTTTGATCTAAAGGGACGCTTTTTGGATGCCATGGACGTTTACAAGTTTCCAGGCAGAAAGAACAGTAAAAGTGCAGGCAGGGCACTGGACAAAGCTCTAGGGACAAAATTGAAGTGAAATAGTTTGATACATGAGTGTAATCATAGCAGATTACATTGTATTGTGTGTAAATGTCATTTTTCACTTTTAAAAAATGACGCCTGAAAACTAAACTAAAAGTCAGATGCCGGCATCGGCCGGCCATGTACAGCAGAGGACACCGCGGGCTCGCAGGGACAAGGTAAGTGACACTTTTCTGTGCATTCCTGAGTCTGGCTCGGGGTTACCGCCAGGGAGGTTAATACCCCCAATGCACAGCAGTTATTACCACAGTAATCCCTCACATGATTAATACCCCCAATGCAGAGCAGTTATTAGTAAACAGTTATTACCTCAGTGATTCCCCATCAGATTGATAGTACAACACAGCCATATACCACCACTACTACAAAGTTCCCTGCAGAGTCAATACTACTACAATAATTATTAGCAGATCAGTACTTCTTCAATAGCTCACTCCAGAATTAATACCACTACAGTTCCCAGCAGATAGTTTCCACTCTTTATGCAGTTCACAGCATCCCCTGCAACAGCTAAACACAGTTCACAAGTCCCTGGTAGTTCAGTGTTCCCAGCAGATCTGTTCAAATCACATCCTCCCCTAATGGGTTAACAGACAGCACCCACAGTGATCGGTCTCTCTCCCCCCCTCACCACACACAGAGCAAAGCTTCAATGTTCCTGTGTCTGTAATAGGAGCTGGAGCTCCACCTCCCCCTCCCACAGCCTGTACACAGAGCTCACAATCCTAGTTCACTGTTTTCACTCACTTAACCATTCACAGGCGTCCGGCTGCTATTGCTCGATCTCTCCTCGTCGCAGTCTCACTCCATTCAGTCACGAAGCTCTGCCTGGCGTCCCCGCCATTCCCCTGACAACGCTTCGGTTCCTGGTTTACAGAACTCCCCTCTCAGCAAACACGGCTCTGCAAACACACACACACACATACGCTCCCCCTCGTTTCCTCTCCTGTGTCTCCGCTCACTGCTTCCGCTTCCGTCATCCCCTCAGAGCCCCCAAGTGATAGGTAAATGTATATATGTATACATGTATATACTTTTGGCTAATCATATTTCTTCCAATCTGCCTACCATATGTTATTATTAAATAGATACATCCATTTTAATATGGACCTTGGGATTTCTGACATTTAGAGTGAGGCTTTGCAAGATTCTCACAGCCACAGCTCCCGGAGAGAGATGCTTCATGGGATTTGTAGTTTCACCACAGCTGGAGGGCCGCAGTTTGGACATCCCAGATTAACCTCTTGCCGTCCGCCCGTTGTAAAAAAATGGGCGGACGGCACTGCAGCATTGGCGGGGTGCCGTCTCCAGACAGCATTTTTTTTCTGCTCGCGCGC